GCTCGTGGAAACAGCACAGGTCGCAAGGTCTATCAACGAATAATCGTTGCCTTTCTCTTATCATCGCAAAGTGGAAAACGTGCAAGCATCAGCGTCGTATCTGTCTTACATCGTTCATACAGAGTGGCCGCGATCAGCTGTTAACGTTGATCGTAGGTTTAGAGGTTGTTCCTTTCTTTTATTAGTTTTCTGTTTTTATACTCCGCAGAACATTCGACCACGACCAAACAACAAATGAATTGCGATTTTATTGAACACGACAATGCGTACTCGCGAATAATCCGCACGCCACGCACCGAAGCGGCCATGCATACGAGAGTGAGCGAGCGAGCGCGAGCGGGCGGACGAGGGAGCGCGATTATGCGAGCGCGCGCACACACACCACTCCTCGCCGATACGCACACATAGGAACAATACGATTCGCACGCAATACGTAGAGCCGTTTAAAGAGCCAAGCCGGGACTAGAGTATCCCTAGTTAGGCGTGCTACCGGCACGGTCATGAGGAAACCTAGAATCAGTGCACGCTTTCGCGATTGATCGCGAGTGATGCCAGCGACTTTCGACGCACCAAATCGGTTGCGCTCGAAATAACGGGCCATTCTTTTCTTTTCTTTTTTTTTTTCTTTCTTTCCTTTCTGTTTATGCGCTCCAGTAAGCACATCTTTCGTACGATTGCGATAGAAAGAAACACGCACGGTTAAAACGCTCGCCTCGAACGGAGACCCGAGTGTGGAGTTTCGAAACAACTGTTACTATTCCCCTAGGCCGAGAATTTTTTCATCGGCCGAAACAAATGGATATTGAAAAACGATTTACGCGTGTTTATTCCACTTACTTGGCTCTCGAGCGTGCGGTAGAAACCGCACAGTATTTTGAGACGGAGGCCCACGCTCTCTTCCGGGAGGTTCAGCCAGCACACGGCGCGGCGCGTGTCACAGCACCGACGAGCGAGGCATATCCGTGCCTCCTCGATGGCAAATACGTCGCCGTCGTGGTCGTGATCGTTGCTGTCGCGTTGTCGATATTTCTAGATGTAATTTTCACTGAGGCCTGTCGATGACAGGACAGATAAACGTGCGCCCGGGAGACGACGACAAGCCTTCTAACCCGGTCTCCCGAGGCTAACCCGTACACGAATGTTTCTCTTGCTTTTCGCTTCGGTATATCATATACACACTTCGTACATACGATTTACTACTCCCTCGCCCTCGCTCGTTTTCTCTCCCTCTGTCCTTCTTTCTCGGCTTATAACCGTTGTCGTTATCCTCGTCGTAGTCGTAGTAGATGCGTGGCCTTTATTTCTCTCTCTGTCCCTTTCCCTCTCTCTCTTTCTCTTTCACGCTCGTTTTTCTATATATCTGTTTCGCTCTGTCTCTCTACTGCACTGGTGCGGTGTCCATTTTCTGCAGAGCCGATCTCGGCAATAGGAACGACAGCCAAAGCAGCAGCAGCAGCAGCAGCAGTAGCAGCAGCAGCAGTAGACTGGGGACCCGAAATAATCGTGTGTAAAGGGCCGAAGCCGTTCGTGCGTTCGCCGTGTTTTCAGCTTCCAAGGAATGTACAGGCTCTAAAGTTCACGATAAGCCCCGCCTCGACATGATCGGTCGAGCCACCGGCGAGGAAAACGAACCTTTTCTGTCGGGGTGTCGCGCGCGCACACGAGGCCGGCTCGTGAGCTGGGCGATTGGATGGACGGGGCTGGCTGGCGCGCTGGCAACTGGCTCGGGCTACGAGGCAGATAGACCCGCCTGTGCCGGTAGTAGTAACACCGAACCGCGTGTCCGTGCGCTCTACTGCGCTCTCACAACGCGCAATGTCACGGTAGTAGTGGTCTTCTACCACTGTCTCGATATGTTCTTGAACGCGTCTCTGTCACGGTGGTAGTACGTGCTTAGGCGCCTGTCATGTGTCGGTGCGTTCGTGGACGCGCGCCTATAACGTACCGGCGCACCGGCCATCTGCCGGTCGCACACAGGAGTCGAGTACGCGCGCCAAAACCGTCACTTCGCTTTTCTCCGTAACCACCGCGCCGCCAGCTATCGCAGATATCCAAAAAAGTTCCTAGATTGTGTTAACTTTCCTTCGTTTTTCACAGATTTTCACAGAGCCACTGTTTTTCCTTGTCTCTCGAATTCCTCGAAATGACAATGGTCTTGCGAATATTCGTGCTAACGTTTGTTTATATTCCTTGGGGTTAGATGTTCCACGATGAATACACCATGTCTTGCTTTTCCAGTATTGCGTGCCGTATTTGTTGATATAAAAACAGGACGAGGAAAACCACGAATTCATGAATTGCACAGACTTTTTACAGAGATAACGAATACACGCGCCAAAACTGTCCTTCTCGTTTTCCACGAAACTGCCACGCAAGCTCCGGCATGTAGGTGAAAAATCCCTATATCACGACTTTCTCGAGACACGTTCGTGCTTGATACAACAGTTATTCGTCTTTGACAGTTTAAAACGTCACGATATATTGTCCTTATAGATTATTACCGTGTCAGTCCGCCATGGTCAGGGGTGTGCGCTTTCAGAACAAACGTCCACGCTTGATGTTGGCAGTGAGTCCCTTTAACGTGGGCCTTATCGCGGAGAAAAGGGGGCCAGAATAAAACGAATGATTAACACACTCGCCAGTTATGTAATTTTCAAAACTTTTTGATTCTCTTTTCTGGAGTGCACACACTTCCGAACATTGGGAGGATCCCACTGCCTGTCGTTTCTTGCCCGAAACTAAGCGGGCGGTCGTCGCTTCCTTCACGATGGAGGGGTGTTGGACGCCAGGGCCGTATGCTTTGTACGTGCAGAAGCATGCTCAATTTTCTCATTTCTCCATGCGGTTCGAAAATTCTCAGTGTCAATCGATGATTCGTATTCCAATTTCTACGTTCTTTTAACAGAAATTTTAATTCTAATCGTATACACATCGATCTTTATACTTTTTGACAATGAAAATTTCCATTAACACAAAACATAAAAAGTATCTTTATTCTGTATATAAAAACATACAAATATACTAATATATAATATTTCTTGTACGTCGTTTACATTTACAAGTTATTGTTAACAGTTTTCGACAAAGGTCGAAGACCTGTAAATACAAATAAAGAGGCATCAGAAAGAAAAATATTTACATTATTCAAATACATCGCATACAATCATACGTTGGCGGTATAACGTTGTCTCTGAGTAATCCCTTGAATAAATTGCAGGGTTTTTTCTTGCGTTGCTACGTACCTGAGGTAGGCCGCCAAGAAGGGAGCCCGGTGTTTTCTTCGTAACGTATTTATTTGAACCCTACGCAACTACAAAAGGATCGTACCCTATGTAGGACGTAAGGGAGGGTATATACCTCCCTTCTTGCTCCTGTATTCATGTGTTCCTCCCCACTTTTGTGTCTTAAGTATTAACCAAGCCAAATTCCAAGGGCGCGCCAAAAAATCAAACGGTACACCGAACAGGACCCGAAAGAGCTATATGTCTACAATCACGAAAAGTTCGGGACAATTTGTTTCCGGACGATCGAGGACCTGCATGGCCGAATACGTGATAGCTTTCACCTCGGCGTTCTGCGTGTGTTTGCCAATCGTGAATTCTTCTCCTAACCCCATCGCTGTGATCTTGAAGTTTTCACGGTCGAAATTAGTAATCTTCACTTTCTAGCAACACAAAGCGACACTTTCTCTTACAAGTTTCAAAAACAGCAGTTAAAGCGGGAAAAGGATACTTTGTTCAATCTCCACATCATTAATGAAACAGTGTACTAAATCGAATAATTTATCAAGTAAAAGACATCTCGCGAAAGATACGTGAATTGAAAAGGTATTATTAATTACGATTTTTAGAATTAAAAGAGATTTTAGTTTCAGTAATGATACAATCAAAGTTTGGAGAATGGAATATACCTTCGCAACGAGAAACGGTTCGGCAGAAAACATGAATAACAATTCATCGAGGAAATGAAAAAGTAGACTTTCCATGTCGTGTCCTTCTGCTTCCACGTAGTGTACTTGTGTTATTTGAACCCGCTCTAAATCCGTCATGTACCCAAACATGGCCACCGCACATTGTTCGAAAGCCTCTTCCATAGTATCGCCCCATGCGTGTAATCTATAATACGTCACAAATATTAAGATATATACTTGATTAAATGTAATATCGTCGAAACAATTCGGCGATATGTATTTTTCGCTCGATTAACGAGGACAATTTGTCATTTCAATTTCCGTTTTAGGTTATCTACGCAAGTAACCTCTAAAATATATCACTTTCGACCACGGGGAATTTACGAACTCGATACTTACTGTACATCCGCCGTATGGTCCAAATCTGAAAAATAAAACGGAAGCACATGACTTTATCTATTTTTCTCCACAATTGCGAGCAAAATAACGTTCTGAATTTCGTCTTCGCCCAATCCACATGTGGCAAAATGGATGCCGGTAGAATGGCGCGCCGGCTGTAGGTTATATCATTCTAACAAGAGGAAAGTGTTTATTTCACGAATATAACGCGTTACTACACTTCATATATATGCTATTGGTTACTTACATTCGTATTTTACCGGAGGTATTACAAAATCCTCGTCGCTCAACGCGTCCATGATTGCGCACAGCTGATCTCACGTACGTGAATAACCGATCAGCTGATTCTCTGACAGGTTTAATCAATGGCGGTCTCGGTTGTACGTGTGCGGGAATGTATTACGTAGATGGCGCTACGTAAAAGGATACATGCAATCTAGATTACCGACCGAGCAGCGTCGGTAAACATTCTCTTCAATGCGGCTACATAAAAAAATAATAAAAATTAATATAAATTTGCAATATTCAAAAATGAGATAAAAAACGGTCTATTATATCTTTTTACCTGTGTTTCCACTCGATTACGATGTTTTATAACGACCGTATAGTGTTATACAAGCACTGTATATTTTTATCTGGTTCGTATGCTTTTTCCAATGTTTACTTTTATAATTTCAATGGAAAAGGAGCGTGTCTACAGATAACAAGTTCGATTCACCAATCACATTAATCGAAGTATCTTCCCGCGCCAGATATGGATTTTTACAAAAAGTGTTTACAAAACGCTATGCAACGCGCAACTGGCGATTTCGAATTTGTGTCATTTGTGCGCATTAATAACAACGCATTTCTATGATAGCAGCAATCGCCGTTCAGTGATCAGTGAACCGCATAAGAGGATTGCAAATGCTAACCAACAGACCTACATACTTCTCTACTGAACAAACACGAGATGCAGCTAATTTATTTTTCGAAAAGATACGAAAGGAGCAGTATCCGTATATTTTCAATATGGCCGTTCAAGCGTCAACAGGCTCCATATTTTTATTTCACTATCAACTCAAACTTTTTATTAACGGATATAGCTTTGTTTATTCAGATACAGGCAAATCGATGCAAATTTATGATACTCCATTTTGGCATTTTTTTACGTCCTCTACGTTTCAATAGGATATTTCAAAATTATAAATAAATAGCATAGAGGCAGCGAGGCTACGAAGTAAACAGTGACGTCATTTGCTTTTTTCTGTCAAAATAAAAGTAAAGCAGACGCACTAAGACTTTTACAGAATGCTATTGAGGTAGGAAAGTATATGTCCTTTATTCTCATAAGCCAAATTAAAAACACGAGAGAGTGTTTATTTTGAATCTAGCATTTTAGCCATCTCTATTTTCGTACTCCTGTCATCAACAGTTTTACAAATCCCTCCTACATACTGTAAATTAATAAATACATTAGCACTCGTAAGCATCCGGCTATTTTGATCGATTTGCAATGACACCTGTCATACAATATTTATAAATTAATATTTAATTGTTGATTGTGAACAGTACTAGTTACTCTCTTTCCAAGAAATACACATAGTAATTACAAACACGAATTTTATTATCCAAAATTTTCTCTTCAAACCCAATTTTATTATCTATATGTATTATAACTGTATTTATCTATTCGTTAATTAATTTATATTCGAATAAATTTAGTAACCAGAGTATGTTTCCACAATTAAACTCCACACGAAAGTCCTTCTCAACAATTCTGAGTTTTTAATAAACAACGCGTTCTAATTAAAAATAAGACCGACACTAACATGAAATTGGTCCCATGAAAAACAGTGTACCTTTTCATTTATATTCCAGTGAAAGAATTCACATAATTCCAAAACAAATGGAGGATTATTTCCCGCCTCTCCTATAAAATTATCGACATGGGTCGTTTTCGATATCTATAAATCGATAAGGCAAGGAAAGATCCGAGCAATTTCCTCTCCAATTTCCCCCTTTTCCACACTTTGCCAATACCAATTTGCTTGCAAGCAAATCAGCCGACCACTTCGTCGAAGATCGACAATGATCGCCAGACCGCTTCGCCGATTAACTGTGTCGATCGATCGAACAAACGAGTGAGAGTCTGACAGAGCCGATCAGGCATGTAAGTATGTGGTACAGTTTCGTTGGCCGTTTTTCTTTGTCAGTCGCCTCCCCGATGAAAACTAGTTTCTCATATCGATGCGATGTGATCCAAGGGCGTCCGGTTCGAGCGCTCCGTAATCCCTGTTACATAAAACTGCGTAGACGGTACCGTAGCAGTTCCATAGGGACATCTTGTCGTCATCTGTTTACAGTATCGTTTTCAACCAGCCAGGTTGCAGGCATCCTCGCAAGGTCACAAGGTCACGGATACCTTTGCTCGGGCTTAATCTAAGCGCGATCTACCGTGGATCATGTCGCTGTCAATCCTCCCGATGGCTCGTGGATCGACTTTGATCCTCCACCATGATTGGGAATCTATAATATCGTTTCATATCTCCCAAATAATTCCGAAAATTCGTATACTTGCCAGTGTCATAAGAATTTTTGTAAGAAAATTTGATCGCGTGGATTTCGGGTGCACATTAAGGCGTGCTTTCATGACACGTAACTTCTCGGTGTTGGATTTGTGTAATGAAAGAGTATTAGAAATAATTTTATCTTGTAAATTTTTAATTTTTGTAGGTTTCAGATCACAAGTTAAAGTATATACTCGATTGCTACTTTTTGTCTTCGTTTGGAGATCATTTATTTGCCTAATAGGTAGATCATATCTAGGACGGTTTGCTGGTTGCTTTGCAATTTCACAATTGATTTTGAATTTTAATCGTATTCATGTAACACGCGTGTGATCTACGAGATTTATCGCGATCTAGATCATCGTTAATTATCGTTGATAATGCATCTGATAACTTTTTGAATTAAACGTACGGAATAGTACTTAAGCGATAGTGAAGCGAGTGTGACTTGACGTTTAAATAAGCATGTATTCGGTAATTAATTAATTCATTGGGAAAATTTAATTTCCTTTTATATTTTATATTTCTTTGAACACTTCAAGGATTTTCTGAGGCTCTCCATTCTTTTTGTGACACTTGCTGCGTGTTGTATGTAACGCAAATTACATTGTACTTATAAAATATACTCGGGAAATAGTCTCTTATTAAGTTAACGCGTATGCTGTTATTATACTAATGCCCACATCCCGAAATAAAGTTGCTCGTTTAACAAGCAGAGGTACCAGGTGTGAACCGGCGACTTTAACGAGCTTGTGCATCGCGATAAAGCTCGAAACGCTGGTTTCTTCTCTTTATGGCGTAATTTACGATTGCGTGTTTATCCTACGTAGCATGCACTGTGCATAGATATCGAATATTATAGCCTGACCCGTCGGATTAATTTAAATTTGACAGCGTCAATAATCATACACCGATATTACAAAGTCGGTACTGTCTAACTCATTTCGTAAAAATGGAAGATACCATGCCTTCGGAATTCGATAAATTACTGTTTATCATCTGTGATCGGTAATTATACGACAAGTATATATAGTTTATGATCGGTAATATATAATTACAGATAAATTTCGAAGGACGTAAAGATAACATAAGTGAATCACAGTCAAAGCAATAAATTCCATTTTCTGAATTTTTTCTAATTTCAGAAGCATAACATTCGATTTATCCTTCATCTTGTTTACATAAAATAAATTTCTGTCATTTGTCACGTGGAGTACATCGATTTGAATAAAGGATTCAAATATCGAATATGGAATATCGAAGATTGGATTTTTGCATTAATTTAAGTCAAACATTATCCAAATATAATCCAATATTACTAAGTCCATTTAATCGAGTCGAAATTAAGTCTCGATTCAAATCATATCAGAGAAATAGGAAATATATTTAAAAATTCGCTATTTCTCAAATTCCAGGGATTCGAAGATAAAGAGACTCGAAAGGAACGAAGATAACTCGAATATCAGATATCAAAATTGAAGCTTCCCGTTAATTTAACGTGGTAATTAATTTATCGTAGTCCGATACCACGAAGCTTTCGTTTCATCGACACGACCTAACTCTTTGCCAGAAAAATGGCAAAAGTTACGTTTGAAAATTCGAAAAATATTTCCTCTGTTTCTCAAATTTGAAGGGTACGAGAATGCCACAGACTCGATCCACTGGATCCACGTGAAAATCCGTGAGTCATTGTTCGTCGTTATTTTTACGGTTCTGCGTCCCCTGAAATCGCCCTGTAATTTCGTACACAGCGTTGTCCGTGGATAATTAGATATCAGTGGACGTGGAATTGAGGATCGTACATTACACGGTACCAACACGCCATGTACTGAAACAGCAATCACGGACAGAAGAGGTTGAACATTGGTCGATACGGAAGCGCGTCAGCGTAATAAGAACACCTGCCATAAGAAACCTAAACACAGTGCTATCATTAAATAGGCAGCTCGTTATAATTGGACGAACAAATATCGAAACCAATTGTAATCGAAAATCTATACACTCGGGGGAGAAAATTGTCTGAAATGAAAATTGAATATATAGAA